CTGGGATTACAGGCATGAGCCACCGCTGCTGGCTGGTATTTACTTTTTATGTAACTGTTATGTCTCCCTCTTGGGCCTGGAAGCCCATTAAGCATAGGAAGCGTATTTTACTGTATTATTTTTTGAGATACAAGGTCTGGCTCTGTCACCCAGGCTGGAATGCAGTGGCACAATCACAGCTCACCACAACTTCTGTGTTATGGGCTCAAGGTGGTGGTCCTCTCATCTCAGCCTCCTAAGTAGCTAGGGCTAAAGACCTGTGCCATTATGCCCTGATAATTTTAAACTTTTTGTAGAGACAGTCTGTGTTGCCTAGGCTGCTCTCAAACATGGCCTTCTGCTGTGGCCTCCCAAAGTGCTGGTATTATAGGCATGAGCCACCAAACCCAGTCTAGGAAGTATATTTTATAATATTGTATATCCTTATCGTATAGCAGAGTATGTGCACAAATATATTAATTAATGATATTGGCGGGGCACAGTGGCTCATGCCTGTAACCTCAGCACTTTGGGAGGCTGAGGCAGACAGATCACCTCAGGAGTTTGAGACCAGCCTGGACAACATGGTGAAACCCCATCTCTACTAAAAATACAAAAAATTAGCTGGGTGTAGTGGCAGACACCTGCAATCCCAGCTACTCAAGAGGCTGAGACAGGAGAATCACTTAACTTGGGAGGTGGAGGTTGCCGTGGAGCCAAGATCGCGCCACTGCACTCCAGCCTGGACAACAAAAGTGAAACTCTGTCTCAAAAAAATAAAAGCATATGCTTTACTAACTGTGGGTCAGCTCTATAATCCATATGCAATAAGAGCAGTCCATTACAGATCAAATCTATGCAAAAATCTCCAGTGAGATTTCCAATGAGATTTCTTTTCTTTGTTTTTGTTTCTTTTTATTTACTTATATTTTTTGTTTGTTTCAACCCTATTAAATGATCCAGTGAGATTTCTTATGATAATATGTATTACAAAAGATTGAGAAGAGTGAAGCATCAGCTAATCTTACACACACACACACACACATATGGATTTTTGTTCTTAACATAAGAGTATTTGGCTACTAGGCAGATATAGCACCAAAAATTGTTTCTTGAATAGGCAAATCCTTAGATTAGGAATATCAGCCTTTATGGTGCATATGTGGTCCGTCCTGTTTGACCACATTCCAGCGTGGTCCCCTTAAGTCTCCTTCCCTGTCCCATATCAATTCATTCTTTCTCAAAACACTGCCAGTAGGATCTAGTCCTGTTTTGCTATCTTATAAGTTAGAGAGAATTTGGGGGAGCCAAGGCAAACTCTTTATCCTTCCAATATATCATATAATTTTAAGCAGATATAATTTGGATAAAATTAGGGTAACTTTGAAGGCTGTCTCAATGTTTATTAGAAAAAAAAAAGGATAAAGAAGAAAGAAAAAGAAAATTAGGGTAACCTTCAAAGAAAAAGCAAGGCCAGGCTGGGTGTGGAGGCTCATGCCTGTAACTTCAGTACTTTGGGAGGCCGAGGTGGGTCGTCGCTTGTGCCCAGGAGTTCAAGACCAGTCTAGGCAATATAGCAAGACTCCATCTGTACAAAAGAATTTAAAAAGTAGCTGAACATGGTGGTGCATGATGCTTATAGTCCCATCTACTTGGAAGGCTGAGGTCAGAGGATCTCTTTTTTTTTTTTTTTTTTTTAGACACAGTATCACTCTGTCGCTAGGTTGGAGTGCAGTGGCTTGATCTAGGCTCACTGCAACCTCCGCCTCCTGGGTTCAAGCGATTCCCCTGCCTCAGCCTCCCAAGTAGATGGGACTACAGGCATGTGCCATCACACCTGGCTGATTTTTTTTTTTGTATTTTAGTAGAGATGAGATTTCACTATGTTGGCCAGGATGGTCTTAATATCCTGATCTCATGATCTGCCCACCATGGCCTTCCAAAATGCTGGGATTTCAGGCGTGAGCCACAGCACCCGGCCTTTTCTTTTTTATTTTTTTGAGACAGGGTATTGCTCTGTCACCCATGCTGGGGTGCAGTAATGCCATCACAGCTCACTGCAGCTTCGACCTCCTGGGCTCAAGCAATATTTCTGCCTCAGTCCCCCAAGTAGCTGGAACTACAGGTGTGCATCACCACGCCCGGCTAATTTTTGTACTTTTGTGGAGATGAGGTTTCACCATGTTGCCCAGGCTGGTTTGGAACTCCTGAGCTCAAGGGATCCACCTGCCTCGGCCTCCCAAAGTGTTGGGATTACAGATGTGAGCCACTGTGCGCCACCTGGCATTTCCTATTTGAAGGCACTGTGGAAATTCAAAGAGGAATCAAACTTGGATGAAGCTAACTGTCCTAAGCCCTTGGTGTGCATCAGAATCAACTATGCAGGTTTAAAAATATGCAGATAGCCAGGCACCAACTATAGAAATTCTGATTCCTTCAGTCTGTGGTATAAATGTTTTTTAAAAGTTCACAGGTAATTTTTATGCCATCTACGGATTGCAATGGTTAGAGTCAGCTCTCATTCTCATAGAGATGTGAGACTATACACAGATAAATGAAACATAAACTAGGAACTAATATGTACTTTAAGAGGCACTGACCAAGTGTTAGAAAAGTTGAGAGGAAGAGAGAGACTAGGGCAAAGTCCATGGAGTAAAGTAGAATAAATTCAGAATGAACCAGGTCCGGAGGTGAAGTTTCTTATCTCACCTCCATCAATAATCTGTGACACATGTGATACTGAATAAACTTTACAACTGTGAAGGCCCATTTTTTTCATATGTAAACGAGAAAGACCA